AAAAAGGAAAGAAAAAGGAGAGGGGGGAAGGACCAGAGCAACACCCTAACTGCTAATCCTCTCCCCCCCAATTCCCACCAAAGAAAAGTTATACAAGTTGTTTTTGGCAATAAGTACAAAAATGAATGTATATGAACTTGAAAATATGATTCTTCTTTCCAGCCTCCACTTGATCTCATTCATCCAAGATAATAATCAGTGGAATACATAGATAATGTTTAAAAAGAAAGTGGTAAGTTGATGGAAAGGGAATGAGGGCATTCCTCACCCGGGGCCCCATTAATCTTAGGGCCAGCCTGGGCTGAGGGTAAAATAACAAATCTCGTATTTATCTAAAAAGACGACAATCCTGAACTTGAGACAACCCCTTCCCCGAAGGACCAGTCATGCCCGGCTTCCCCAACATGTCAACTTAGGGTTGCTGAAGCCATCTGAAACCAATCTTGGAGACTTTCTCTTTCCCCTCCAAATGTGTCCATGCGTCACCCATGTGCAAGCACTTGGATATACTTGCCAGATGCCCCATGCTAACAAGGGTCAGTGGTCTAGTGGTTAAGACACTGGATCAGAAGCCAAGAGATGGTGAATTGCAGTCCTGCCTTAGGCATGGAAACTGGCCGAGTGAGAGCCCCAGGAAGGAGGCACACCACTTCTAAAAATGCTGCCAAGAAAACTGCAGAGAATTGCCCCTGTCATCACCAGGAGTCAGGTTGACTTGACAGGCCATGAAACAAGAAAACCAAATAAGGAAAGAGAAGAAGAGGATGACCAGGTGAAGGGACTCCATTACAGTGGTGATGGGTCCACCATGGGAAGACCTGGAGGGACAGGTTGGAGACAGATCCTCCTGGAGAAAATCTATCTATGTGGGCACTCAGAGTCAACATCAACTTGATCGCACATAATCTAGTCAATCAAAATAAGTCACCCCATTTATGAGATCCTCCCTCGCATAGAAACCAATCACAAGAACACACAAGTAGAGATCCCCCTTTCTCCTTCCAGCAGAAACAGCTGGAACAAGTTGGTTGTACTGGGAGAAAAAAAAGAGAGAGAAGTGGATCTTGACTCTTTAGACATAACATTACCAGATAACTTTCCCAGAGCCAGTTTGGTCTAGGGATTAAGGGGCTGTGAGAAAAGCAGGAGACTGAGTTCTTGTCCCACCTTAGGCATGAAAGCTTGCTGAGTGACTTTGGGCCAGTCACGCTCTCTCAGCCCAACCCACCTCACAGGGTTGTTGTGGGGAAAATAGGAGGAGGAAGCAGTATTAGGTAAGTTCCCTGCCTTGACTTATTTATATATAAAAATATAACAATAAAGGCGAGATAAAAATCTAATTAATAATCTTATGGAGGATATGGAGGCTTGGCTTTACATTTCTTAAGATCCAGTTTGCTGAGGAATACAATTTAACTTAGTTTTTTGAGATTATTCTCCAAGCCGATGTGGTTCCTGGACTTCTAGTAGCTTCACCACTCCAAATCATGCTTCTGTTATTATCTATGCCTTCTTCAACTAAAAAGAGTTATTAACGTATTTGAGTTATATACCACCTTTTGCACAGGAGTTCGTGGTGGATGTAGTTCTCCCTCCTCCTACTTGTTCCCACCACAGCAACTCTGTGAAGTAGGTTGGGCTCAGAAAGGGACTGGCCCAAAGTCCCCCAGAGAGCCTTCATGGCTGAAGAGAGACTAGAACCTGGATCTCTATATTCTTGGTCCACCATCTTCCCCACTACCCCATATTCTACCTAGGTTCTAGTCCCCCTTCAGCCATGGAAGCTTCCTGCAGGACTTTGATCAATCCCTCCCTGTCAGCCCCAGAGGTGAGAGGGAGAGATTGGCCAGAGTCCTCCAAGAAGCTTCCATTGTTGAAGAGGGACCAGAACCTGGGTCTCCCCACTACTAATCCAGCATCTTCACAATTATACTACACTGCCATTCTGACTGCTGGAAGATGTACTGGGCTGAAGACCTAGAGCTTGACTCTGACACCCTTGTACCCAAACTTCCCTATTCCCCCTCTATTAATCTACAGCTGGAGACCCCTTTGAACCTCCACCTTCTCTGTACTATACCCTCTCGGTCTAGAATTCAGATAGAATGAGGGGCCCTGGTTTACAATTCTTTGAGTGACTGGTTCCATCACTACTAGCACCCCCTGCCCATTTTCTTCTCTTCAACAGCCCCTCTTTTTATCAGGCCTCACTTCACATGTAATTCACATATATTAGAGGAAAATTTCAGTTTTCTACAACACGTATGGTGTTAACTGTGTCCTAGCACCAATTTCTAGGAACTGCTATAGGAAACTACTCCGTGCGCATATATAGATATGTCTCTCCAACTCACCCGTGAGCTTAAAAAATGTGCATTAACTACTAGCCAATGTCCACTTTCAGAACCGGGGAGAGGGCACATCCACAAGATGAACAGTGTTTTGTATGTACTGCTGAGTACTCATAATGAAACTATGCTGAACGGTGGATGTTAAACATTGGCCAGGGAATATTGTATGAATATGCTCCACAGAGAGCGTAAAACACCTTGCTGATGGTTGAACGCTCTGCAGGTTTCCAGTCATTCAGAAACTATGTACATTGACTAGGCATCGTGCATAATCTCCTGCCACTTACATAGGTCCTGCAGAATATCAGTTAAATAAATTAAAAAACTAGGGCTGTAGTTTCTAACACACACACACACACACACACCTACCCACTAGAGCAGTGTTTCTCAACACTAGCAACTTTAAGATGTGTTGACCTTAATTTCCCCAATTTCCCCCCCCCCACATCGCGGGTGGGGCGGGGGGGGGGGGGGGGATTTGGGGCGTTGAAGTCCACAAGTGCATGCTGGCTAAGGAATTCTAGGAACTAGAGTGTTAAAACTTGACAAGCATGCCCATGTGAGAACATTTCTACCTGGCCTGAAAAAGAAAGAAGGGGGGAAGAAAGCATATCACATAAATATCAATTCTTTTGATTTAGAAATTCCCAAGATTTTTGCAAGTATCCACACCAATTATGATGGCCTATAAAGTTGATGCTTTTTTTCATTACCCATCCAAGCAGGGCCAAACCAACATTTGTAAGTTAGCTAATTTACAGGGAGGCACGTCCTTAGCCAAAGCATTACTGCATAATCTGCTGGGAATTTTTGTAATCAGCCCCCTTGCCATAAATAAGGCTGCCATGCAATTACGTGACATTTCACTTTTTTTTTTTTTTTAAATAAAGCATTTATATCCCATTTTTTTCTGTTCATTCCATGTGGGTTTTCACTTCCACATGTGGTCTCCTAATAACTGTGCAGGGTAGGGCACGCAGAGGTGACAATGATGCAGTGAAATTCGCAGCTGAATGAAGAACCCATTTCCATAGTGATGGTCCAACATTCAAAGTTTATCATTTCTCCTGCTGGCTACAAAAGATGGGAGTTGTAGTCAAATATATCCAAAAGGCACCAAGAAAAGACTGCTCCAAGGACTAAGCCCTCCCTAGCATTGGATGATAATGATAATCAATGAGAGGGATGTGCCTGTCCTTGGATCTGGAAGTGGCACATAGGCTTTGAAGCAAGTGAGGGATCGTCCAGGGCAGACGGTGTCCTTGAACCCAAGTCTTCCTAGTTCTAGTCCAATACTGTACCTTGACCAGGGCATCCTGGCTCTCTTCCAGCAATTAATTTAAGGAAAGACATACAAAAAGGTTTCTCTTACAGGACAGTTGGTCACTTTTGCAGGCCACTGGTCACAACTAGAATCCCGAATTTGTACTGCTGTCAAGGGAGTGCAGCTAGCCACAAAAAACCTCTCTACATTCCTAGCCTCCCATCCACTTCTATTCCAGATTTCCCTTGTATTTTTTTTAAAGAGAGCCACACTTCCAATGCTCTAGGCTGCAGTTACTCACCAAATCATTTAAGAGAACTTCTGAGGCCAATATTGGTCTCAGAGGCATTCTTGTAAATGAAATATGCTGCTAAAGATTAGTGTTGTGCTTTCCACTTTGCCACTGCCCATATAATTAAAACAAAATTAATTTAAAAGAACCTTGCGAACCTCAGAATGTTAAATTCTGAAGGGAGTAAGGAGCTTGGCAGAAGCCAGAGGCAGATTGCTGGCTGGGCTCAAGAAGAAGGTCACCAGCGCCTTTGCCTCAACTGACCAGAGAGCAGCTGGGAGAAACACTATCCTTGAGTCTTCCAATCCCCAAGGCAGATCAACTAATGAACTCACTGAAGCATCTGTAAAAGCTGCATTCAACACAACCATGATCTCTTTGTATCTACAAACACCACTACAGCTTTTTTCAAGCCTATCTAGTACAGCTAAGGAGTTTATCCTTAATTTTTGAGTTTGTTTCCTCTCCAGATCTTTTTCCCACTAGCTCACTTTTCTTCCAACTCTTCCATTTCCCAAAGCATCCCTAACTTCTCTTCCCCTATGTATTTGGCAAATGCTAAATTTCCCGGTCTCCATCTTTACATTCTCTATACTAGGAGTATTAGAAACCATAAACAAATTCAAGAGCTATGCCACGGATCAATCCCATTTTTCTCTTTTGTAACAATGCATGCATGATGTGAGTGTGTGGGTGGGTGTATATAATCATGTGTTAACATACATTTGCTTGTGAACGGAAGATGCACAGCAACACAGTTAGATCAGTGTTTCCCAACCTTGGCCATATCTAGACATGTGGACTTCCAACTTTTAGATGTCTGAGCAAGGGAATTCTGGGAGTTGAGATACCCAGATTGGGAAACTCTGGGTTAGGTAAAGGAACACATTTTCAATCATGTCTGTAACTGCAAGGCAACTGGGGAAAAGCCACTGCTGTGGAATGCTGCAGCCACAGGGAAATGCTTGCATGTGTTTCCGTGCTCAAAGTTCACAATGCACCAACAGACGGACTCCTCAACAACCATTTCAATTTTACTGCTTGACACTGTAGAACCAGTAAACGGGGGAAAGAAGCTCCCATCGGTCATGAAGTAAATTAAATTTTTATTCTGCAATACATATTTATGAGCTCACAGTTGAGCCCAGACCTTGATACACAATGTAGAAAGCAAGAGCTAGACTTATTTGACCTCCAAAAGGCAGATCCTCGGGAGTCTGAAGCAGACCAGAAAACCCACTCATACGTTAGTGCAGTCGGAAATATGTGGGGAACTACCTCACCTGAAGTCAAATTTGCCCTGTCGATAAACTGTTGAAGACAACTCCAGCTTAAAAATATGGGTTGTTTGGTCGGTTTCCTTTATTTAAAAAAAGAGATTCAAATGATTTGAAAAAGTCTGCAGAAAGCACAATTCAATTCAATCCAATTCAGGTAATCCCAAATCTATTGCACTGAGTGTATGTGCACACATGCATGTGTGTGTGTGTACAAAGTCTGGCTTGCATGTTTGTAAACTGTTTCGCTGTTTGACTGAGGTTGAAATAGTGAATAATAAACTTAATGATAACAATAATAATAATGCGCCCACAGGCTGCTTTGTTACAGATTATGGTCCCATGAGACACTCCTGTAGCAGATCCGATCACCCCCAAGGAGGCAGGAAAGCGAGCATCCTTTAGAAGCAGCATCTTCCGTTGACAAGCCTGGTTTGAGTGTGCATAGTTGCCTACTGGTTCAAAGCAAAACATGATTTTATTCCTGGAATGGAGAAGGCCCCTTAATCACATATTAGTTGGGGCGACATTTAAAGCATATTCATTTTATTCTTGGAAGCAAATGGTACAGTCCACGGATCGCCTCTCCGGCATACGACCCTCTGAAACGCATGGGATTCCACTCTTTTCTCTGGGGCAGGCGTGGAATTGCTAACCACAAGAGTAATGAGGAGGAGGGAGGAAAGAAATAAAGTGGCGTGGGGATGGGAGTGTTGCCCAGGCTTCGCGAGTGGCGGGTCTTCCTACTGTTTATCATCTGCTTCCCAAGCAAAGCAACAACAAAAACATTGCGCGTGCCTCTGAACCAGAAAGCTGCGAGGCCTGGCTGAAGCAACAAGCTGCTGAGAACACGAGCTCCTGCGTGAGCACATCTGTAGACAGGCACGCACAGCCTTGCCGGTAAAAGCTTGAGCTAATCTCTCCTGAAAGGATGGGAAGAAACCTCAATAATAAACTTGGGGGGAAAAATGAGCAAAAGACCCAACTGAATTGCCAAAGCAATTTGTGAGTATTAAAAAAACAGGGGAGGAAGCAGATTCTGATCCACATGGTCGTAAATGGTGGTCGTGTGTACTTCCCAAACCGTAGCAAGAGTTGCTTTCTTCCCTACTGCCCCTCCCACCCCATAACTGATCAGGATTATGAGTGCAAGCTTTATCTTCACTCCAGGCATATCATCACGTCCTCTTTGCAATGTGCAGCCCCACCACTGCATCCAAGGCTACTTATCAGAACCTTTCCGTGGCCGGCGGAAAGTGGGGGTGTCCTTGTTCAGTGCGCAGATCCTTCGGGAAAACTCTTCAAATTCCCCCAGGACTTGGTCATCGCATTCCACGGCCACCGCGTGATCCACCGGGATGTAATTAAAGGCTGCGAGCTGATCTCCTGAGCCAAACCCCATAGCTTCCAGGCCCATGATCTCTTCCGCTTGCTCCACAGTACAAAGCAGATCAGTGCCCAGAGGGCCGCGGAACACACCCGACTGCTCGGGAGCTGCAGTACTGGGGTGCTCGCTGGAGAACGGGGTGCCATTTATTGCACGAGAAGGTCCCCGGAAAGCCTCCTGCTGATTCTGGGAACCACTCAAGCTCCTGTTCTCACCGTTTACACCAATACACAAATCCTCTCCCTTTTTGCTTTCTTTTGAGAAGTCGATGGAAGTGTCTAAGGAGGATGATAAGGATGCACCCCTTTTCTCAGGCTCTCCTACAATGGCGATGGGCTGGGTTAAAGCAGAGTTGTAACTTGGAGGGGGAGTCTTATACAGCAGTCTCTCGTTCTCAGAGTTAGCCCGTTTTCGAAGCCCCTTGTCTGGAGACGGGTGGTTGCTGGAAAAGCCAACATCCAAACCCCCAAACGCAGAACTTTGTCTCTTTGGAACTGGAATGGCACTGGAAACGTGATGGCGATCGCTGTGAAAAACAGAATGAGGGTTAAAATAAGCCGGCTTTTAGAGAAATGTGCAGAACGTAGAGAGCTGAGCTGAGGCAGGGCTGCAATTCAGAAAACAGAATAGCTCCACCTCACCTCCGGGTTTTGGTGGACTCAACTCCATCCAGCTGGCTACCTCAATCTGGTGGCCACAGTCACAGTGCAGGCACAGGGAAGCCATCTTTAGCCCCTGGATGAAGCAGACCCAGCCCTTCTGACTGAATGACCTGGAGAAGTTCTTCTACTGGACCTTTATTGGACTAAAAAGCCTTCAAAGCTCCACCCCTCCAAGTTACCTCTTATCATTTTCACAATATCATGAAGGAAAACAGAGGAAAAGAACAACTTTGCTAGGGCAACTAATGAACTTTGTGATTCATGAGTTTCCTACGTGAAAGCCCAATTCCATTACTTTTTAAACCTAAAGAGTTTAGAACACGACTTGAAGGATTTTTTTTTTTTTTTATAACAGGTTGAATTAAAAATTCAAGTTGTCCATAATTTTTCCCACCTCTTTTTCCCACACACCAGAACCCATGATTACAACAGTAAAATACCATGTTAAGTTCACAAGAAAATCCATTTCCTGAACAAGTTTATCAGAAAATTCAATTCTATTCATTTGGCACTGATGAAGCAAGAGTGCATTCCATAGACGTTTGCATTCTAATAAATTCATTAGTTAAGTTCCTACCACAGAGGGGTTTATTTGCATATTATCACCAATAATGGCTCATCATTTTGAAAGATGAAAGGTGAACATTTATTTTGTATGCCTCTGAGCACTAATTCAAAAGTTAATGAGCGGTCCCTTTGCATTTCATTCCCATTTTTATTTTTTCCTCCTCTTTCCCCAGCCACAAGCCCATCCACGTCCACATACACACCTGACGACTGAATCAAACATCCCACAGGTATGAAGAAGTAGCTTCTAGTAGGCAAATGCATTAATAAAATGTTGTCATTAAGATGCTACAAGATATTGATTTTTTTTTTCTAGAAATGAAACAGACAGGGGATACTCTGTCCCTCTTCTTTCCATTTCATAGCGTGGTCATGTATTAAACATTTACAGAACACCCACCTTCTTTACCTGAGTTCCAGGCAACTTTAATATTCCAAATTCCACATGGATCATATATAAGTTTATACTTTAGCTATTGTACCTGAGGTCAGATGCTTCTGCTTTTCCCATTTCTGATAAATTCCAGAGTTAATACTAAAGTTCTGTTGAGGTATAATGTATCCCCTCCCTTCCATCGCATACTGTCACAAAGCAGGTGTTTTGTTTTGTTTTAAATCCAAAAGGTCTGACGTTTGGCTCTTTCCTAACCGCAGAAAATAAAATCCTCTTCAAGGGAGCATTTCACACTCTAATAAAAGCTGGATCTTCCCATTCATCTTCCCATGCCGCAAGTCTTCAGGACTACAGCTCTGACAATTCCTGGCCTACTAGAGCTTTCACTAGACTCCCTAGGAATACGGGAGCCACTGAGTTTGAAAAATCTGGTTTGCATAAGGACTCTATGGACTAAGCGGCTAATTGGAACACCCGCCTCGAAAACATATCTATATCTATATTTTTTAATTTATTAATCATATTTATATCCTGCCACAATCATAAAAAGACTCTTGGCAGTGAGACATAAACTTGATTAATGTTTGAAGTTAAAATGCCATTGAAGCATAGCCCATCTTTAAGAATCTACACTTAATTAATCATACAAAGTCACGACATGCTTTCTTCTGTAGTGTTTTTGGCAGTAAAATTATTCTCCATTCTGCTCCTAACCAAAACCTGTTCCACTTTCCCATCATTCCAAGTGATCTGGCGGTCTGCGGAGTGAAGATCAGTTTCCTACCTCAGATCAACTCCCACTGAGATTTGAGTTGGCCACCTAGGGACATGGTCTGCCCTCAAATATGAAGGATTTCTGAATGCCTTGGGGAATTTTTCCGACAACGTGCTTGGTGATTCTGCTGAATCCATGAAACCTCTCTGGAACAGCAGAAGGCCACTAACCCAACTGCTCTGCAGTCATGGAGAGCGCAGAAGGCTCCCTGGTTTTCTGAAGAGGAGTGAGGCAGTGGGGGTAAAGTACAGGTAGTGTAAACTTTGCCCTGACTATGGGAACACGTTCGTGTGATAATCACATGTGCAGTGGGCTTACTTTTGTCATCAAGGAGACTTGGTAGTGAGCAGGGCATTCAGGGCTGGTCCTGCAAGTAAGTTCTGATGACCATCGAAGAAACTGAGTGGAACAGATTTGTTTGCAAGTGTGCTTAGTGTCGACGCTGTTATGCCTGTTCACCTGAATATTTTTGAGGCAGTAATCCCCTTAAAACCAACTGTTGCCTGTTAAAATAAGTGGGTGTATTTTCCTTTTCACTGGTACATGATGTCAGTGTCAGATAAAGATGATGTACTTCCACTGTTATTTTTATTTATCTTCATACATACATACATACATACATACATACATACATACATACATAGATAAAAAAATAAATTTAAAAAAATGCCTTGGGCAGTTCAAAGAGGAAAGATGTGATATAAACAAAATTAACCATTGCAACAATTCAAAAACCATTTCTCTTGTTATTTACACACACTTCTGAAGGGACAATATGGTTCTTAATCTCAAATATTGGTCTTCCCTTTGTTATAAACTCTTCCCTTTAAGAATAGTACTTGATCACAGCTAGTTAAAATTAAAAAAAAAAAAGTCATGATTTTCTGGCCACCAGCCAAAATGTGTGGCTTCAATCCATGGCATAAGAACGCCTTAAGGAAAAAGAATAATTAGGTAAACATCTGATTTATTTCCCCACTCCCTGCTCTTCTCTTCTATGCTCTTCTATGAATAGCAAGAAATGGAAGCAACTTAAAGCCACCTGAAATGACGCTTTGGCCAATATCTTGTTAGCTGTGCTTAACCAAAGGAAAACAGAATCGCATCTCTTTAAAGATCAGACTGTACTGCATTTGAAATAATGCAGAATAATGATACAATTGCCAGGAGGTGGCAGAGCAAACTGAGGACTAGGACACAAGAGGGTTTGACTTTCAAATGACACCTCTTGCAAAAAAATAAAATCGACATCATTTTATTTTTTTGCCTTCAGGCAAGGAGCTTGAACTCAGTCCAGGAATTAGAAAGGGCCAACTACTGGACTGGTGCAGCACCACCAGAGCAGCATCTAATCAGCTAAGTATATCATGCTGATGGGCTGGGTGTATGTGTGTGTGTGTGTTGTTTTTTTGTAATGTCATGAAATGTGGGCATCTCTACACCTGGGATTCATACTGAGTGCCAGAAAGTGCAGTACAGCAGTTTCAAGACCTGTTCAAATGAACAGAATAACAGCCTCTGTTCCACGATTCTGCTCAATGCCACCTGCTTTCTAGACTTGATTACTTATATCCCAAAGCATAACTTGGAGAGCAACTCACTTTGAGTTGGCCCATTTAAAGAAGATGACAGCTATGGGTTTTTATATTTTTACTTTTTGTACACTGCCGTGAGCAACAAACAAACAAGTAAACAAATTTGGGGCACCTTGCAGCCAAAGTGCTAGGGCAGGGTTCCTCAACCTTGTCAACTTTAAGATGGGTGGACTTCAACTCCCAGAATTCCCCAGCCAGCTTAAAGTTGCCAAGGTTGAGGAACCCTGTGCTAGGGTGTGATTTAATGGATCTACAAAGAGGAGGGTGATGTGAGAAATCAAGGCTATCAGGAAGGAGGGAATGCATTCCAGGAGGGG